TTGGTGTGCTCTTATTTGGTGAAACTCGTGATGCAATTCTGCTGTTGGTTCGAGGTCACGACTATCTGGTCTCATATGTATGATGCTGTTTGATTGCTGAAGTTCGCCATTGCTCATCTTCCTTGCAATTTGGTATCGGAGCTGTGGTTCGTTGCGCTCATCTGGCGCTTGTCTTCTGCCTATCCGGTACATACATGCGGTCTGCTTGGTGAGTGAGGCCGTAGGGGGTGTGTAGTGAGGAGGGCGGAGACAAGGTGTGGTGACCCAGGAGGAGAGGGGATTGCCAGGAAGGCTACGGTGTGTATATTGGGTGTTCGCAATGTGATGAGAACTATCTGGTGGTTGATTGATGCTGAGGTGGAACAGCGAGATAATGCTGGTTGTGCCGATGCAGTGACTGGTCATCGCAATCACCATCAGGTCATCTGGTGAGAATATCTGTGGTTGGGGGCAGCTATAATGAGGTATGTTGCTCTTAACCTTATCTTCCCTCTTCATCACTTCTTACCATGAGGTTGTGAGTTCCTTCTTGAGAGTCCTCTCATTGTGAGGTGTCGTGTGTGCTCAACCTTGAGAGTCGGCATTGTTCTTGTGGAGCATCTGGAAGGAGAGGGCGGTGCTTTCTGAAGGGCCCTGGACGGAGCACTGGGTCACGGTCACCATGCCAACCCACCGGGAGTAGAGCACGCATGCTTTGCTGCTTTGTCCTTGTCTGCTTGCTGCGCTCATAGAAGGGGTACGGAAGGGCAGGCCAGCCCTATGGGAGAGACGAGTACTGGGCGTCTATAAATAAACACTGGCTGGGGAAACCGTTGGCTGTGATCGTCGTCCGACTGCGACGTAAAATAATTCCTGGAGACACTTGGGGGGGGTCGTTAAATTGCCTCTGGATCAGCCAATCGGTGTAAGGCTCGCTGCACGCGAGGATAAATACTGTGCAGGGCTGGCCAGCTCAGCAGCTACTCGGGGCACAGGGGTGGGCCGTGTGCACACCTTTAGTCACTCACGCTACTGGATCGCTCATGGACGCTGACGTCAAGTGATAGTCAAGGGGAATTGGGGAAAGGGTAGATTCCAGGTGATAAGTTCGAGTAAGATACCATGTTGTCAACAGACCAAACAAACGATTCTATTTTTATTTTGATTAGTTAGATGTACAACTATTTAACATGTGACGGACAACATAAGTTAGAACTGTTTTCTGTTCCTTGTGCTTTCTGTTTGTGGACTAATCAAAGTGAAATAGGTTGCGTTTGTAGGAAACTGAACTTACCTGTTGACCCCAAGTGTATCTACTCCGAAATAGCCACCAATTAATTATTTATTTATTTTAAATTGGTCTCTGCACTACACTGCGGTAGGCATCCAAGGTGCATTAGTGCAGATTGTGCACAGTGCTGTAGATTATGAACGACGGGGAGGACACTAGAGAGGACGACCGGATCTTGCGATCGGCAAGGCGCCCAGCTGCCCATTTGGCATTAGGACCAGAGGGTGACAGATATTTGTTCCGCCAGCGTAGGGAGAGGCAACAGCAACAGAGGAGAGCCAGGGCCGAAGAGGCAAGCAGGGCGTTCGTAAGTGAAGCCGCAGCTTCAGCAACCATGGCCACTTCTGCGCAGCAGAGTTCCCAGGCTAGTAGTTCAGGATTTGTTGGGTCAACGGTCGCACAGACCCTGAGTCAGTCCATTGGCGTCATGGCAAGCCAGCCAATAGTGTTGACGTCCGATGAGATCGCCATACAACAAGCAGCATTGCAGGAGGCACAGCTACAGAAGGCTTTAGGAGAGATAAAGGCGGAAAAGGAAAGAATGATTAGAAGAAGATTCAGGATGCAGCGGAGACAAGCGGACGTTAGTGAGTTAGAGAAGATGGACCTGGCGCACATGAGTGACGATGTAAGGACCATACGGTCCATCCTGCTAAATGTAGTTGAAATGCAGGACCACCAGACGACCATCCTTCATGACATTCAACAAAGTCTAGCCATGTTGGCTGGGCGAGCGCAGACAGCGCCATCGATGTCCGGCCCTGGTGCCTGGCCCGTTGTACAACCTCCTCCTTTTGTCCCACCAGTGACTGGGGTATCCCTATACACAACTCCAGCATCGGTCCAGACCGTTTCCCTAGGTATGTCGCTATCAGGAGGGCTTTCATCAGGACCTAGTTTGCAGGTTCCTGTACAGACAGTGTTTACCCAACCTCCGTTGCAGATTGCGGTTACCACGCAACTTGCTGTCTCGCAGCCTGTACAGTCGCAGGGTACACAGCCCCTGCAGCCAGTGCAGCCCCTGCAGCCAGTGCAGCCTCCTGCACCACAGGGTCCACAGCCCGGTGGGATGCAACGACCCGGACAAACTCAGTGGGTACCAAAGACGGCCATCGCTGCTCCTAAACCCTTCACAGGGGATAAGAGAGGCGAAGACCTCGACACTTGGTTGAGGGCAGTGCCGGTCTATGTCAAGTGTAAACTTACCTTGCCGCATGAGGAAGTGCTTGTGGCTGCATCCTACCTAGAGGGTAGTGCAGCACGATGGTTGAGCGGTTTAGTGCAACTACAGGGGTACGATCATGACTTCCGCACTTGGGCAGCCCACCAAAAACTGGAGGACTTCCTCAAGATGGTGGAGGACATGTGGCATGATCCTCAGGAGGCTCAAAAAGTCACTGATGCGATCCTAACACTGCACACGAGGCAGTTTAAGTCAGTTAGGGAGGCCATTGACATTGTAGAGCGTATGATCTGTGTCCTTGGGGTGCGCTATGACCCCCAGGTTCTACTCACCTCCTACCTGAGATGCTTTCCTATGCCTCTCAGGAATCAGTTGGCAGGTGAGGCCAACATAAATGTTCACAACTTCCCCTCGTTCAGCAAGAAGGCCCTAGACCTTGAGGCGGAGATAGGGCATGGACATAATCCCACAACGGACGGTAGGAAGAAGACACTGCCTCCCAACTGGAAGGCGAAGGGTCGCATTATGTTTGTCGATAACGATGGTTCAACCATCGAGTTGGATGACAACTTCCAGGAGGGAGTAGGTTCAGAGGCTGGCAGCATAGAAGCTTCAGGGGGTGGAGTAGTCGCTGTCGTAGCACAGAAAGGTAGGGCAACCAGTAAACGCCGTGTAGGTTCCCGGTCTAGGAGTCAAGTTGACCCCAATGCTCCCCCATGGGAGAAAGCGGGTCTTACTGAGGACGTGTGGAGAGATCGGTACACACGCAAGGCTTGTATCCGTTGTGGCCAATATGGCCATAACCAATTCAAGTGCCGAAATAAGAAGGTGACCGAGAAGATCCTGCCTACAATGGGGCAGGCGGTAGGATCCTCCGCTTCCGTTGGTAGCAATGTTGCCAGCACATCAGGCACTGCTCCGGGAAACACGTCGGGCCAGTAGGAATAGTAGTTGTTCCTGCTAGGGTCGAGGTGGTGGATACACCCTCACCATCTCGAGAGATGGCCCAAGCTACTGACTCCATCGTCGTCCCGCAAACACGTGCAGACCAGTCGAGCCTCTGTTCGATGAATGTGTTTGAGTCCTTAGAGGAGCTAGAGGAGTGGTCTACATCAGACCCGCTAGCTTCTTGGACGACATTAGTCAAAGTTCCTAAGGGTGAGATGTTCGTTAGCGAGGTTGTCATTGGCGTCCGCAAGGCTTGGGCCTATTATGACACTTGCTCGACTAGGATCTTTATCAGTCGCGCGTGCGTTGAGAGGCTGCGCTTACAGGGGCGAGTGCAGCGCCTGAGTCGACCTGTGCCAACAAACAGCACATGGTAGTCAATGACTACCTCCAGGATGTTGAGTGTTGTTTACCGTACGCGGGAGGGGAACTGAGACATCGCGTCTCGTTCCTAGTGAGCGATGAACTCCCCATGGATATGTTGTTAGGTGTGTACTACCTCTCTGTGGCACAGCCACAGTTTGACTGGAACTAAAGCGTAAGTTCAAAGCTAGTAGTCTGATCGAGTCCCATGGATGCATGTGTGCGGCTGCGTTCTATAACTATTATAAGCACAATCAGGAGGAGGGTATGTATCTAGTTTATGTCTCTGCTGCAGGCGAGCCGGTGAAAATGACGCCGGAGATAGAGGGAGTAGTTGCAAAGTACCCTGATCTATTTGAAGAGCCGACAGGAGTTGTTGAGAGGGAGGTCGTCCACGCGATAGAGATTATCCCAGGGTCTAGCATCCCAAAGGGTAGGATCTATCAGATGTCTCCAGGCAAGCTTGATGAGCTTCGCCGTCAACTCAAGGAACTCGTAGAGAAGGGGTGGATCCGGCCGAGTGTTTCTCCTAATGGGTCTCCAGTCTTATACGTACCTAAGAAGAAGGAAGGAACACTTAGGATGTGCATTGACTATAGGGGCCTCAATGCCATCACTGTGAAGAACAGAAAGGCCCTACCGTGCATCGATGACTTGTTAGATAGAGTGCAAGGGTGTCGGTACTTCAGTAAGATAGATCTGAAGTCCGGGTACCATCAGATTGCAATCCGCCCCCAGGATCAACACAAAACCGCTTTTCAGACTAGGTACGGTCTGTACGAGTTTGTGGTGATGCCTTTTGGCCTTTGCAATGCTCCTGGCACCTTTCAGCACGCTATGAATCAGATATTTCATGACTACTTCGATAAGTTGTCATTGTGTACCTCGATGACATACTTATTTTTAGTAAGACTGTCGAAGAGCACGTTGCGCACTTGGACAAAGTCCTCAGTCTCTTACGACAGCACAAGTTCAAGATCAACGGTGAGAAGTGCGAGTTTGGCCGCACCCGTGTCTTGTACTTGGGTCATGAGATTTCCGCGGAGGGATTAAAGCCCGATGACGCGAAGGGGGCCAGCATTCGTGACTGGCCACGTCCTCAGTCTGCGACTGAGATGAGGTCTTTCTTAGGGATGACCGACTACTATCGCAATTTTGTGAAGAACTATAGCATAGTTGCCGCCCCTTTGACTGATCTGACTCGACTTGACACCCCATGGGAGTGGACAGACAGGTGTGAGGCTGCTTTCAGGCAACTGAAGCATGTGTTGACACACCATGAGGTCTTGAAACTTTCTGATCCTGACAAGCCGTTCGTTGTAACTACGGATGCCAGCCAATATGGCATTGGCGCCGTACTTGCGCAGCAGGAGGGGAAAAAGTTGAGACCGGTAGAGTTCATGTCCAAAAAGATGCCCTCTCAAAAGTTGGCTAAGTCTGCCTATGAGAAGGAGCTCTATGAGATCTACAAGGCGCTGACACATTGGAGGCACTATCTCCTTGGGCGCTTGTTCTACGTCAGGACTGATCATCAGACCTTGAGGTGGATGAAGACTCAGCCAGTACACTCTGACGCTCTGAAGCGTTGGATAGAAGTCATAGAACAGTATGACTTCGAGCCCCAGTACATCAAGGGCCAGTACAACAAGGTTGCAGATGCGCTGTCGCGTAGGCCAGACTTCCTCGGTGCGTTGATCACAAAATTTGGGCTTGCGGACGATGTTAATCAGTCTTTGGTGGAAGCCTATCGCGAGGACCCGTTTATGGCCGAGATCATACGCAGACTCGAGGCGAAGGACAAAGAGACTTCTGCCGAGTTTGAGTTGGTTAACGGCCTGTTGTTCCTTGAGAAGGCAGGGAATAAACGTTTGTGTGTGCCAAATAGGGAGTCTTTGCGTAGATTATTTTTAGGCGAATGTCATGATGCCACAGGACATTTTGGGTTCAAGAAGACTGCGACTAATCTGCTGCAGTGGTTCTGGTGGCCCACAATGATGGGAGATGCTAAGTTGTACGTGGAGACTTGTCAGGTCTGTCAGAGGGACAAGCCACGTACTCAAGCTCCTCTTGGGCTCCTGAAGCCCCTTCCGATTCTGGAAAGGCCTGGTGAGAGCCTGTCCATGGACTTCATGCATACGCTGGTCACCAGCAAGAGTGGAATGCGCTACATCTACGTCATTGTGGATAGGTTTAGTAAGTTTGCTAGGTTAGTTGCAATGTCGGCAACAACTAAGACGGAGTATGTGATTAAAATGTTTAAAGAGAATTGGGTCAGAGATTTTGGATTGCCAAAGTCTATCGTTAGTGACCGGGACGTGCGATTTACCAGCGAATTGTGGAAAGCAGCAGCTGCAGAGCAAGGCACGCAACTGCAGATGACATCAGGCAATCGTCCCGAGGCAAACGGGCAGGCTGAACAAATGCACCGCGCTGTACAACACCTGCTAAGGCATTACATCAATCCAAATCAGGTAGATTGGGATGACAAACTTGCTCTCATTGCCAGTTTGTACAACAATGCTGTGCACAGCGCAACCGGAGTCAGTCCTAACAGCTTGCTACTGACCTTTAGACCCCGACTGCCTTTAGACTTTCTACTACTTGACAATCAGCCGACTGCTGCACCAGGAACTCTAGAGTTTGCATATAGATATGAGCACTTGATGCAGCAGGCTGTTGAGCAGATGCACAAACCACAAGCAGCGATGATAGAGTCTGAGAACAAGCACCGCCGCCCATCTACATTCCAGGTAGGGGAAAGAGTCTGGGTGAAGTCCTCCGAACTGGGACAAGAGTACGGGATATCCCATAAACTCGTGCCGCAGTACTTTGGACCGTGGGAGGTATTGGATGTCGTGGGGAATGAACCGGATGGCCCGTCTTATGTTACTCGCATCCCTGGTCACTTACGCACTTAACCCTGTCTTTCACGCCTCCAAGCTTTCACCTTTCAAGGAAACAGATCAGTTTCCTTCTCGACGCTCAATGCTGCCCCCAACCATGGATGGAGAGGTGGACATAGACGACATCGTGGATCACAGGGAGCTGCCCGTTTCAAGACCGACAGGCAGGGGACGTCCTCCGAAACCGAAGCTGCAGTATCGAGTTCGGTTCCGACATCACCTGGATCCAAAGGAGGACCGCTGGTTCACTAGGGAGGAACTCATGCAGACCGCTCCTCAGATCGTAGCTCAATATGAGAAATCTCTGCAGAAGGGAAAGCACCAGATCATCGAAGACTGAACTTCTCAGAGGACTAGCGAAGTTATGGAGGAGGGAATGCGAGGCTTATGCCCCTATGAGCCCCTTTCAGGCCCTGACAAGTATCCCGTTGGCCGCCCTAAGTGAAGGCAGGCACGACGAGGGCCTGAGGGCCCCTATTTCGGTCACCACGCAACTCAAGGAAATTCAGGCAGTTGCGCAGTGTCAGTTGGTTGGAAGAACCCACGCCTTGGG